TCACCAATTTCTTTTAATTAGCGGGCTTTAAATTCTAAATTAAATATGATAATAGCTCAACAAATTTTAATTGAATTTAATCTCTATAACAAAAGACAATATACTTTTGGGGATAACAAGTCCGAAAACTTCATATTTACTAAATGACCAAATTTTAAGGAGCCAAATTGATATGTTATTAAGCAACAGAAGTAGTGGTTTTAAAAAAAGTAAACAGATTAACTTTGTCAAATCATTTGGTGCATTCAGAATGTGCCAAATGATTTAGCGCATTCGCTTGAATATGTCAATATATTCGGCGCATTCCACACACTAACAATTATGGACTTGAAGGCATTACTCTTTTTTAAACTTTGTAAATGATTTTAAGAATTGAATATATAGATATCTAATGTATAAGTATAAGTATACATAAAATATAATAATAAATAAATAAGTTATATATATTTATATTATATTTTATAAGTATTATGATTAAATTATTATCTAAATTAAATATTTTTATTATTTATATGGTATTCAAAATTTTCAATTATTTTATATTTACAATCAAAGAAAATGGACATGATTGATGAGACAAGTCATTTGTGATGGACAATCTTTTTGTTTTTGTATAAATAAGAAACATTTATTGATGGTGGATTTAGTAGATATTGTTCCCATAAAGGAGGAATCCTGTGTAGTTTGTTCAGGATTGCAAAATTACTCAAGATAATATATCTTATTTATGTGCTCAATTTCTATATTTTATACTTTGATAATACTATTGGATTACTCTATCACTATTACAAAATTATTGTATAAGGGACTCATTAAATAGTATGTTATTATCGGGAATAAATTTGTCCTAACATTATGCCTATTTAAGTTCGATGGTTATCAAGTTTGGAGGCACCATATGTAGCTCATTCTCAACTTATTCCTTTTTTTCCTGAAGTTCTTCTTGAGTCTATTATAAGTTACAACAATAAGGATGGGCCATATCTTTAAGAAAGTTAGTAAAGGTTCCTCTAACACATTATTAGTAGAGACAACAGCTCGACAAAGAAAAAAATGTGATTAATCATCAAAAACTAGATTAGAATTGCTTATGCATTTGAATGATGCATCTATTGTTGCACTCATTTTTTATTGTTCAAACATGATTAGTTGCTTATGACATTACATGTGGAGACGATGAAAAAACATAATGTCCCATAATGAGAGCATTTCTAATCAGACCTGGTTGGAAAAATTTAAAGCATTAGATTGTCATATTATTGGGCTAAATTTTCTACAAGAATATATCTTGAGCTAAATTGCCCCAATGCCCCATTAGCATATTGCAATATCATGAAATATATGACATTAATTTAAGCATCAACATGTATCAAAAGTGGAGCAGCCATGATGAAAGTTTATATTGAATTTGTGCAACAAGTTAATGAGAATACATGTTAAATATGATAGGAAGAAAAACTCTTTTAACTGTAATTGATTGGCAAGAAATTTAACACTAATTTGAGTACTACATTCATTGTTATACAACTCAACCACAATTTCAAGCTCGCATGCAAAAGTTATTATGGAGCAGAAGTAGGAAAGTAAGGAGGCAATAGAAAATATGATAGGTTTGGATATATCGTTATTATCTAGTTATTCTCTATAGTGTGAATGTTAACTACTATTAGTGATCATCTATTATGGTTGTAATGTACATTTACGTTTGACATATGTAAGTTGCTCGCTTCTTTTTTATTTTGTTACCTTGTGTTGAAATATACATCATATTTTAAATTAAATTGTGTAATCTTTGATATAATGCAACATTGAGTTTTCGACACATGGACTACTTATAATAAAGTGTATTTGATGCATAAACAAGAATGTTATAATTCATGCTACCTAATTTTACTTGGATATGTTATATTTGATATTTCAATTAATGAGCATCTCTCATATAAATGATTTTTTTTTTCATAAAAGAAATGGAAAGAGAAAATCCACTAATATTTCACTCATATATTTATATATAAATATATATTTTTGGCGTGCACAGTTACAAAAGTATTTTAGTAGAAACAATGACAAACTAAGGTCCTTGATGAATTGGAATGGCATCTATCCTCAGAGTGTATCAAGCAAGTGTTCACAAAGTTCTTTACTTTAGTTTTGCCTTATAATCTATATGTTCATCCTCATGATATTTTGGGTTGTGCTATACTGGATGCCCTCCTTATAGGAACGGATCTTGTTGCATCCACTATAGGAAAATCATCCATTATCGGTGGATTTTACGATGGCTTTCCGGCGAACTATTTTCCTGCGGCTTTCCAACATATTTCTGGTTGAATATGTCTAACTATTTTTTCTATAGATTTTCCAACAGCGTTTCCAGTGGCTTTTCTGTCGGATTTTAATTCTTATATTTTAAATTAAAAAATGTGACAATTATACACTTTTTCCCTTCCAGCAAACTTGTGGGGTCTTTGGAATCATACTCACTTCAAATTCCAGGACATGCAGGCAACGCGGGCGGGCAGCCGGGCTAACGGGCAGTGCAGCGAGCAACCAAGCTGGCAGGCAGGGCAACGGGCAACCCAGGAGGGTAGCAAGGCAGGAAGAGGACAATTTGGCTTTTAAAATTACTATTTTTTATTTGTGGTAGCATTATGTTTTCAAAAAGCCACAGAAAAAAATTACCGCCTGAAATTAGCCATTGGTTGTCATTTCTTACGCAGCTTTTGCCACTGCCAGAAATGCCAATTTTCACTGGTAATAGACGATTTTCTTGTATTGATTGAATATGAAGTCAAACTTAACAGTGTGAAATGTTTTGTATTTTCTCCCTTCTTTATGAGGGCTTGAAAAAATGAGGCAAGTTATTCAACTCTCCAAACGAATTTCTCAATATTATTATACTTGGAGGCATTTTGCATTTGATCCTCTAGAGTTGTTAGTAGATTCCTGAAAACAAAAAGCTTAGCATTATAGGGTTACATCTCAACGATAAAAGTAGCTTTAGTAATATTATTATCATCGCCATTGACTTCATACAATACCTTGTTAAATATATTGGTGTAATCCTCAGGGGATTCTTCTGTGCTCTAATTGATGTAAAATAGTGACCGAGAGATCTTCAATGACCTCTCGGATATAGTAAAAAAAAATTTCTTAAAGGAGTTTATGCTTCCCATGGGTAAAAAGTTAAACCATCTCCATGCATGTTATGTCATTGAAAGTATTCACAAAAAGCTGACATTTGATTGCATTAGAAATGTTGTACTTGGACTTCATGTTTTCCAATGTATTGAGGTGGTATGACATGTCGGATATGCCTTAATATATTTTATTCAAGGGGTCTTGAACTTTAATAAGACCGCCTCTTCAATAATACTTGAAGTGAAACAAAAATTTGTGGACAAGTTGGCATGATGTGAACAACAATAAGGTATCATTCACTTCAATAACCTTCCCTCAACTTAGGGTTTGCACAAGTTGAGCAATGGACGTTAGTGGTTACTGAAGGAAGACCTTGATGATGTATATGAGATTGAGGATATGTAAATAAGGGTCTTTGATGTTGACATTCAAATATTTATGAGTAACAAAAGAAGTGCTACTTAAGGACTCCCATATTGAAGGAGTCAAGGTCATGATGTTAATTATTGCTCGCCATGGATCATTTCCAAAATAAGAAAAGTGGTGATTAATTTATCAAAAATAACTCTAAAAAAGATACTGGTGGTGACAAACATGCTGAGCAGTGGTGACAACAAGAGTGCATGCTTCAGAGGCTCATAAAAAATGAGAGGGAATATCAAAATAGCCCTTAGGCTCTAAATTCTAGTATATACTTATAAACAACATAATCCTTTCTCATCATCAAAAGAATTCCTTCTTAGGGAATATCAGAATAACCCTCAAGTTTTAGAATCATAATAGCTCTCAGGCTTCATAGTTTTTGTTAGAAACATAAAACAAAATCTATTATCACCGACAACATAATCTCTTCTCCCTGCTAATTCAATTATTGAAAATGAAGTACATTCTAAACTACTAAAATAATCAAAGAACAGTCATATGAGCATACAAAAATACTCCAATGATTGTTAAATAATTTTCACTTGATGTTTTATAGTTGTCAAACCAAGTTTTCATAATTTCATCACATTATTAGAGATTGTGTGTAACAATATTTTGAAGTTTCAATTGAACTAAAATACTATTTTAAGATATCAAAATAAAAATTTATATTGATAAAAAAATTTATTTTTTTCAAAATTACTCGGCAAAAAATCTCAAATAAATACGTATAATGACTAAATAGTCTCACCAATAACATATCAAAAGTTACATAGATAAAAGTTTCCAAAATCCGATAAAACTGCATTTTTTTGTAAAACAAAAGTATAAATTTGATTGGGAAAATCTAAAAAATACCAAATTGTAACATCCCTTGAGACAAACGAATATTTTAAGTAGACCGACTAGCAAAAATGACTCTATGACCTTCAAAACCTAGTTTTTCTTTTCTCTCACCTATATTT